ATTGACTTCAGGGAAGTTATCTGTTTGAATAAAATAAAATTGTTATTCCCCTGGCCACTTATCTCATATTTCTATAGGCAGAGACACAGTGCTTTTCAATATCAGACCCCTTTGATGTCCTATAGAACTGGGAAGTGATCCAGATTCAAAGAAGGAAATATGATCCAGAGTCCACACGAGCGCTCTCACGTGCTCCAAAATACCCTTTCCCTTTCAAATTTGGATTGCTGTGTCACTGTAATCTCCTATCGCGCAGAGGCAAGCAACTTTGGGACATGGATTTGCATGGAAGCCTTAATCAAATTCCAAAAGAAATCAGACAACCTCCCTGGCAAAAGTCATTCCTCTCTTTCCCAGGCGGGGAGGAAAAAGTGCAGAATATATGTAGTTCAGTGTTCAATTGTTGAAAACAAAAAAGTTTTCTCTCTTGCTAAAGCTTACTTACTTACACTGAGTGCATTGAACAGTAAAAATGTGAAACCTTGGTGATACTGTTTTAAACAGGCCTTACACCAGATTAGTTTCAATATTTGGCATTCATCTTCCTCTTTTTTTATTATGCATCTTTTTCAGGCTTTGAATGACAGTCACATCCAAGTTCAGCCTCTGCCCTCACCACAGCATCCTTTAACTAAGAGTTTTGAAGTGCACATGAAGCAATGCAATACTCTGCTAATTTTGCAACAGCTCTCTCAAACCATCCATAGGAGTTTGTCAGTCCTCAACAATCTCAAAAAATGATAACATAAAAGAAGACAACTTAAATTCTGCTAAGAGAATGATTGATCTTCAAACATTTTAAGTTATCCATGAGAGGAAAAAAATGCATTAGTACATTGGAAGCACAGTCTTTCTCAACTTCATCCCTTGACACAGGATTAGTAATATCTATAACAGGCAATTCCATACTGTGGCATGCCACAAGCAGATCACAGGAATGAGCAAAATTCTTGAAGCCGAGATTTCCTACAAGGTGTTCTCATGCTAACACCGATTGGGCAGTGCCATATAGATGGAACAATGGTTGGAAGTAAAGTTAGATAACACACATGATCCCATCCTTTCTAACGTATAAGCAGAAAACTAGCAAAACCATCCAAAGAGAATTAATATACAGGAATCCATGGGTGGCATATACAAAGTTCTTTTTTTCTCCCCACTAATTATTTTCAAGCATATATCAGCTTTCCAGGATTGCAATGCCTGGCTGTAATGGTAAAAGCAGGGCTTTCCAAGAGAAAATTTTCTTAGCCTACTTTTTCCATTCACTCTCCATTCTCATAAATCTGAGCTTCATTTTGGTTTTTGGAGTTCAGCGTAATTGCAGTAATCTTTCTGAGCCCTTGTATGCCACAGCTGATGCATCAAATTCTAGTTCCACTGATTGCCAAAAGGAAAAGAGTTATCTGAACCCAGCCTCTTTCTTTCTGGCAATGAAATACTGGAACAACCACCTGCTGTTCTTTTATACCATCCAAACTCTGCTTTCTGAGACCGCTCTCCAGCTTTGTGTCTACGCAGGATTTTTGTGGAAGTCAAGCTAAGTTACTCACAGCTGTCCTAATTCTTATCAACAATCTGTGTACAAACACATACATGAGCTATCACAGATATGCCAAGAAAGGCCTGTTTTTGGATTGGTGCATGGCAGAAGAAATATTTACCTTTTAAGTTATAATATCTTGCACTTACTTTCATGTTGACTGTGAGAAAAATAAGCTAAAAAAGAAGTCCAAAATAGTTCTCATGTTTTCCTATGCTTTGCTTCCGAAATAAGCCCTGTTGATTCCATGGGCTTACACTCAGGGAAGGGTTTATAAAATCACAGCTTCAAATAATTGAATGTTCCAATGTGTCTCTTAATTTATGTTTGTCCAAGTGGTGAGTATCGCCTCTGTCTCCTGAACTGAAACTTTAGTTATATTTCATCTTTATTTTTTACTTATTTTTTCAAATTTTCAAATAAGTAAAAAATAAAGATGAAATATAACTAAAGTTTAGTGCAGGAGACAGAGGTGATACTTGCCACTTGGACAAAATTATATTGTGCCTTTCATAAAGAGTTTTTTAAATAATAAGGAAACTGGATCTGTAATAGGTTTTTGCTTATCCTAATATCAAGTGACATGTTGTTTGATGATACTGGCTAATTATAAGAAAATAATGTATATGTAATTTATAAATGCCTTCTAAATTAATTTATATTTATGATCTAATAAATTATAACTTAAAGTTATAGTGTGTTTTCTTCATTGCTAAAGTACAGTTATAATAAAAGGACATATTCCATTTAAGATTTAAAATATGCTTGGAGTATGTTTATTTCCTGAGGCCTCTGGATCTTTGTAGCAGGGACGTGCAACTTTCTAATGGCCAAGAGCCATGTTTAACATTTGGGGTGAGGTGGGAGGTGCAGTGAGTAAGGACACTGATGCAAAGGTATGTCACGTGTGAGAACAATTAGGACTTCTAGGGTTTGTGTTTTTCAGAAGCAAACATGCTGGAGATCACTAGTTGGCAGTAAAGATTCGTAAAAATTAATAAAATTTAAGAGTCTCTGTTGCCATCTATTGGTGACCTGGATTTTTGCAGTCCAGATCTGATAGCCCAACAATTATATTCTTTGTCATTTAAAGTAAAGTAAATTAATTTACCATCTAAAGAGGGAGGGAGGGAGGGAGGGAGGGAGGATTTCTGACACTCCCTGCCAGCTTCCCACCGGCAAAGTCAATGAGGAAGCTGGCAGCAAATCGCAAGTCACTCACAGTGCCACTGCTTTTTTGCTCTTGGTCATTCTGTTTCTCTGTTTAGGTAAGGAAATATCTCTGAAATGATGACTCAACAGGTTACGGGTTGTCTAGTTACCATGTAAAGAGGACTTCCCTAAGAGATTAAGTCACAGATTTAAAGTTCTTAACTAGATCTACCGTCACTATGCAAATGCGCAAGACTGAAAACTTCAATTATTCAATGGCAAGAGAAAAGAACAATATTTTAGATTTTCTTAGAGACATCCTTTGTTTTAGGGTTGATTTTCTTGCTTACGTTTGCATTCAATTAGATATCCTTCATCATTCCTATTTGACATACTTCTTCAGGTACGTTGCTGTGAAACCATAGTTTAGTTGTTGACATCTCCATCAGTTTATTCACTGATGACTGAATAAAAAAGATTTGTTCACTTTAACCCACAATTCATTATTTTTCCTTTTATTGAATTTGTCACTTCATTAGCCCATTCTTACCCCCTGCTTTTCTTATTAGATTTCTTGCTCTCTCACAGATAATTGATTTTTATCACTTCATCATTTTGTGCTCCATATATTTGAACGGCTAAATACAAAAATAGGGAAAAAAGGCTCATCTTCTCAAATTTAATAGCTATGAAGAGGATAACAGAAGTATGGTGGTAAAATTCATATGTACAATGCTTTTGTAGGCTTCATAAAACGGCAAATCATGGGCAATTAAATAAGCCACCAATCCACACTAATGTTAATATTGAATTGATTTGCCAAGTTTCTTCTACTACCACACTACTTTTCTCTAGAGTTCCACTGCTTTTTTGTTTAACTTCTGCTTTGTTTCTTATTGGTGTTATTTATCATGGGGCAGGGTTGTTTCTAATTTCAGTGTTTTTTAAATGAGTCTGGGATTTTTTTTCTGAAGGAGGGATATAAGCAGAATGAGCTACACATATAGACAATTATAGCACACCCACTCTGCTCAAGGATTTCCTGGTACTTCCAATCCAGCACTGGTAGCTGGGTTGGGAATCATTACACAGGCAAAGGTATAGAGGAAGTATCATATGTATTCACTAAGGCATCCTTAAAAAAGGAGATGTTTGCTTGGTTGCCAAGTAGCTATATATGTAGTAGACCTAGTGACATCCATGGAGGGAGGGGTGGACCAAACAAGCAAGATGGTGGTCACAGCACTGCAATCTTTTTGTACATCTGTGACATCTGGACTGTCTTGACTGCCCCTGTAAATGCCATTGGATAGATTGACATATGCTGCAATTAACACTC